ATCACGGGGGGGGGGGGGTCAATTAGCCGATAAAATGTTCGGTTGATTAGTTAACAAAACGACTGGTTAGTAGCAGCTGGACCTGAAGTTACTGAGGTTGTTTCAAGAAGCAAATCAGAGATTTAACCAAACTGACTGCAAGACAAAACGACTGCTGATTATTTATGCTCACGTGCTTTACAGGTACAACCTATCATCCAGATGTAAACCACCGTGACAACCCCGCCGTCAGAGGAAAGTAACACAGGATCTGCACTTGCTGCACCTGTCTATGACCCAAATCCCCCAGTTTTGTCTAACATGTTATGGTTAAGACGTTTGTGCCTAAACTCTACACAAGACTAAACTGAGGTTTAATGGGAAATTGCGGCTCACACCGTGTTCCGTCTGGGACAAAGTCCTGTCAGTCTGGATTTCAGGAGGTGTAACTACTCGCGCAGTTCTCTCTCACACTCACACAGTCCCGAAGATAACTAGGTCTCTAGTTATCTCTAGTTATAACTAGGTCTCTATTTATCTCTGAGGAAATCGGACAACGGTAACCAAACTGTCTGCAACACGAGGTTTCACTGCCTCTACAGGCGGCTAACACGGAGTTAATGCTAATCTACTGTTAACTTAAGCAGCCTGACAGAATCTGCAATTAAAGATTATATACCAAAACGTCCTACAGTCAGTCCAAGGTGACGTTTCTCCGGCTTCCAGAGCCGTATTTTTTCTAAATGCCTTTTACCCGCTAACGCTACTGCTAACACTGATAGCTTCTGAGGCTAACGACATGCTAACATAACCGTTAGCAGCTTGTAAACACACTGCTGATCCTCCGACATATTCTGATTAAGGATTTAATTAACTAATACGTTTAAAATAACTGAACCCCCCCAGACTCTGCCCAGCATCTGTCTCCAGGATGTTTTGTTGCGTCTGATCCGGACTTTAATGGCGGTGGCCCGGTGCTACAACAACAATGCGCTGCAGCTACACAACTCACCAACAATCTCCGCTGCAGTGTTACAGTTAGCTATCTAGCTGACATTAGTTGGCTAGGTTCTTCCGTAAATATTTTCTCTAGAGAAACATGAACGTCTCAAACTTTATTCAAGTGAAATTTAAGCAGTTTATCATTTCGTCCACCAGCAGAATCCATCGTGACGCTTCTTCTTCTCGGCCCTGAAGAAAAGCATGTCGGGAGATCCTCTCAAAGGGAGGGGGACTGGCTGCGACATCATCTCGCAAAGGATGCTGGGAGGTTGAGTTTTATGTTCAGCGAAAATTTGTTTTACTCTGTTTTACTTGGTTTTACTTCAATTTTATACACAACCTCTTGTTTGTTACAATATAATTATAGTTGCGTTCCACCACATGTCTATCTTATTTTACTCAATTTTATGTATTTTTAGTCTTTACACGAACATAACTACAAAAACAAATTGGAACATCAGTTCACATCCTCAGTGTTTTGGCAAGGGCTCAAGATAATAAAGAGCTACAATCCACAGCCTTCGCAGAGGAACTGAGGCACCTGAACATCACACCCCCACTCTGCCTTTGGATACACAACTTCTTGTCCAATAGGAATCCATGTGTCAGAGTGGGGGGCCACATCTCAGGCCCTCAGCATTGGGCCTCTACATGTCTGTGTGATCTCTTCACCACTCGATTCCAGACAGCTCCACCTCCCTGACTGACTCTGTCAAACCTTTTATCACTGATGGTGATCAGCGTGGTGGTGTGGGGACATTCAGCTGCAGCTGAACACACAGGAAACAGTGAAGTTGATTATTAATATCAGAAAGAACAAGCCCTCCCCTCCCCCTTCAATTATCATTCAGGGAATGGCAGTAAGCAGAGCCGAGTCACAAATTCCTGGGTACCACCATTCAGCGGGACTGGAATGTTACCTTTACATATAACTCCATCACCAAGAAGGCCCAGCAGCACTTGTACTTTCAGTGGCAGCTGACAAAGTACAGAGTGGCACAAGTAATGCTGGTGCAGTTCTACACTGAGGTCATCGAGTCAGTCACATCCTCTGTCACTGTGTGGTTTGGCTCTGCATCACCACACTCTGAGCTCAGACCACAGTGCCTAGTGCAATGCATAGAGTCCTTTCTCACCTATCATTATTACTTCCTCTTTATCTGTTGATGTGAGACCTGAGCCAATTTAATTCCTTGTACTTGATTCTTATTTCAATTAAAGGTTGCATTTAATAATTTTTTTCTCCTTTTATTCCTTCTGTAGGTCATTCTGTAGCTAGAAGTGTAACTGTCATATAACATTACATTATGGTATACAGTTCTTTTGTAGCCCCAGTAACATTTACTTGAAGCTCATTTTTTGCTTTTATCTGGGTACATTTTAAAAGTCATTTCATGTTGCCTTAAGCATAATTTATTTTAATTAACAGTCCTTTTACTTGATTACAGTTTTCTAATAGGCTACTCTTTCCATTTCTCTATACACATACAGTACATATGTTACATATAAATTATTCACAGCTAAATTCTACTCTAGTGTTTTTAAACAGGATTCATGGTAGCTGACTGTCCAACCAGCAAATCCACACTTTGTTGTATGACACATTTATTTGTTACATAAAGAAATGTAAAAGCCATTTGTCACACACAGAACAGCAGATGATTCTGAAAGTATTATTACAAACACATTTTACAGCATGTACAACATGAGCAACACAGATACTCAGTACTGCAACAGAAAGAAAGGGGCTTACAGAAAATGCTGAGATCTATTGTAATGGGCTGGACTAGAGAAGGTTCAAATGTACATACTCTGAAATACAAGAAGAAATGTATGTGTCACCCACAGTTGAAGAACCACTGGTCTCTACACAGCTTTGCAGTTCAGGTTGCTGAGAATTCCTGCGCTCTCCAGTTTGTAGACAACCTCACAGTCATAAAATCCTTTTACTTTTTCAGTTATATTGAACTTTTCATAAGGGGGGATGAGCACCTCTTGTTCATAATATCCAAGAACTGGATAATGTTTCAGGTAACCACCTGAACAGGTTCTAATTTCAAAGCAGGTCTTGTTACCAAATCTGACCAGTGTTTTATTCAAAGAGGTTGAGGCAAAGGAGCCAAATCGCATGATGACGTTGGCCCCACCGGTGAACTCAAGATTAGTTCTGCGATAACTAATGTAACACCGCTCCTTATTGAGAATTTGTACAGCACGTGTCAGCCAGAAATGTAAAGCATGAAATTTGAAGTCAGTGCCATATATACTCCTGTTATTTCTGACATGATCATTGAACATCGCATAAAACTGAGGAGCTGTATAAACACAGATCGCTTGCATATGATCCTTAGTTAGACCCTCATCGTCTATATCTCTCTTTTTTTTGTTTGCATACTTTTCTGCTAGATTCCCGACATCTTTAAATGTGTCTTTGTTCTCTTTTGGAAAGTATGTTTTCCTGACCTTTGCTGTCATTTTATTTGTGCAGCCATGGTACATGTCATCAACAGAATCTTCAACCAAGGTCAGTGGGATGGCCTTGTCAGCAGCATGTAAAGGGAAGCTTTGATGGCCCTAAAGGGAAAGCGAGGAGAAACATGCAGGTCATTAAAAAGGCACTTTACTGAACGTCACAGATCTCAGTGAGGTAGGGTCAGTAACACTGCAGCTATAATACCTGTGCTGGTGATATACAACATATAATGTAATATTCCTAATTTTTGTTATTTGTTTCTAGTACACTTCTTTTTACACTCCTTTAGATCGAGGGGTCACACTGGAACCATCTCACCATAAACAACGCCATAAGGGACTTAAACCGCAACGACTCAGTCGTTAGAGGACAGCGTTGGCCGTCAAAGGACTGAAACATCACCCAGGGGGATAAACACCTCATGCTCACCATCGGTCAGATAGAACTGATGAGAGGTGAAACGTCTTCTACCTAAAACTACTTCCAGATGCCTTCTTCTAAGTTTTTTCAGTCATCTCTAAAGCACTTTGATTTGCTCTGACTCATATGAAATGCACTGCACACAAAGGGTTGATTGATTCCTTAATCAAAACAGATTCCCTGATTTTAAAAGTTGATTAACTGAAGATTTGTTCCACAGGCATCCCAGTATCATCGTGCCTGTCCTCTGAATTAACATTAACTGTTATGGTTTAGTCCCCCTCACCAGGAGGGTGAAGGAGAACTGAGGTAGGACTCAGAGTGCTGACCCAGGTGCTAGTAAAAAAAAAAAAAAGAGGTTTAATGGGAAAAAACACAAACAAGGTAACAGGGTCAATGTATAATACAATAACGAGGGTAGGGCAGGGATGGCTGAGGAGACTAGGACGAGCAGACAAGTAGGAGGATTGCAGGAAACAGGAGAGTAGAAGACCATGACAAGGCAGGCGAGTAGACAGGAGAACGGCGACAGGTGAGATGACAGGAGGGACACAGGAACGAGAAGACAGGACTGGTGTAGCGCTCCCTGAAGCGCTAGCCGTCCGGTACCCACGGCTGGGAAAATCACCGTCAGATACACATGGCTAGCAAAGTTCACCAGAGGTGATCACGGCATCGGCGTCAGATACACATAGCTTAGGAAAGTACGCCAATAATGTTTGGCCATATCTAATACTAAAACCTCGCCGTTCACTCAACCTGTCAATACTTCCTCAACATGTCCGTGTCTAACATAGTGCAATGCTCCGACGGTGACGGAGCGTCTGCCAGAGGTTTAAATAAGGAGGAATGTATTACAGAAATGAGCCCCAGCTGTGCGCGACAACCCGCAAGTCACTAATTACAGAAAGCGACACAGTCCACAGAGCGGACCTGACATTAACATTCATCACCCTTGAACTTTACTGTGCTGTGAGCAGCTTATTCAAAGTAATTTCTGTAAAGATCTTTTACTGTTAACATTTGTGATATTTGGGGAATTTTCACAGGTTCCACTCACCATCACGGACCGTATAGACAACACCCAGCAGAGCAGGAACCACAGTGGGATGAGCAGAGTGTTACTGTCCATGTCTGCAGTCACAGACCTGTTCCTGGGTTTACACAGACACACAACAGGTCAACAGCTTGGCACCGGCGTCACTTTTAGAACATGTACAATACTAAAATGTTGTAGAGATCAACTCACTGGTCTTCAGGATGAGAAGATGTTCAGAATAAGTGAACCCCTCAGATCACAGCATGTGATCATACGTTCAGGGCTCACTGTCAACCACATATATACCTTCCTCTGCAGCCACACAGGCCCTCCCATACACATTTACACAACTAACATGTGCAAGTTGTGTGAAAGTTTTAAAATGTGTGAAACATATATGTGGTCGTTTGTAGTTGATAATTTTAGGTACTTTTCAAATAAGTTTTTTCTGTTCAGTAAAACTTTCAAACATATGATGCAGTGCTGCAGATTAAGTTACACACTAAATTTTGGTACAGTTTTAAACAAATATAGCTGTAAAGTGCCACATATAGATCCATGCAGCTGGAATATTAATCCATAAACATAACAGTATTAACAGTCACAGGGACAAGTTTGTACTTTTGATTCTTTAGGTGCATTTTGCCGACAATACTAGCCACTTTTACTTAAGTAAGGTTTTTAATACACATCTTATATGTTCTGACTTCCCAACCTAAAGAGCAATAAACTTTAACAAGCAGTTTCCTGAGTTCTTTAAGCTAAAGAACATCCTTTTACAATGACTGCACATTTTCTCAGAATAAACATTAGTTACACACAAGAAGAAAAGCTATGTCCAGTATTTTTCCATCAGAATTATAAAAACATAACATTTGCACTATGATTTCCAGACCCATGAATTACAGGCACATGCAGAAAAAGGGAAGAGTCTCAGAATTCAGGACAACGTGGACAAAGTAACAGTTGAAGGGGACGTGACAGTGAAAAGCTCATGCTGTGTTTGCTGACACCTAAACTGAACTTGTCATTGTGTAGTTGCAGTATTAATATCTCCATGACACTGCATGACGTGTGTCCTTATCAAGCATTAACAGTGAAGCTTTTCAAGAGGACAGCGTCTGAACCTGCAGCGCTTGCAAACCGCTTCACACACTGATCGTCTCACACTCTAACCACACTAATGGTTTTTTTTCTCTCAACATAACAAAAACAACATCCTGTGGGAAGCCATACGTGATAAATCGTGTGAAACACTCACAGTTCACTTAATCTGCATCTGCTCATTACACTGAGGAGAAGTTAAACACATTCTCCGACCCTGGTCGGTAGAGACACGCGCCTGTAGCGCACGGCCACGCTTCCTGTTATGGAACAAAACCTATACTGTCTGCTCTTTTCCTTGATAAACCTGAAAATGATAACCCACTAACAATGGGAAATTCTTTTGCGATATTTGTTTCATCCCCCTGCATCTGTATACAGATGCAGCAGGACGCGGAGATGATGTGACCCTTCACATGGTGCATGTGTTGCTCTCTGCTCCTTCCAGAAGACCGAGCTCCAACACTTTACATCTTCCGGCGGCTCTGCCAGCTGGGCCCTTAACTGCGGACATCCATGCGGCTTCACCATCATAAACTAATGTGTCACTGCCAGAATCGTAACAACTGGCTTCCAGCATGTCACAGCTGCAGTCTGTCACAGTCGGCCTCAGCAGCAGACCGCTGCAGCCTGATAACAGAGTAGCAGGCTGGTTAACTAGTTCCATTAGTTATTAGTGGTACACAGTGGCAGTTTCTGGCATGGGCCGGCAATCGGGAGAAGGCAGGGTACACCCTGGACAGGTCGCCAATTCATCGCAGTAACATGCAATTCAATTGCTATTTCAGGGGCACTTCTAAAATATTTTGGAGCATTCTCTGTCACTGGTCAGGATGAGCCACCCACCTCCCCCACTACACAGGACTCTGATGGAATGGTCTCTCTTCAGGATGAGCTACTATCTATGTCCTCAGCTACTCATATGTCTCCACAAATATCTAATATTGAGGATGAAGACCTCTTGCCTCTACTTCTACCCAGCATGAGAGGGTAAGATGGAGAGCAGTGCTGACACGTCTCCCTGCTATTACTGGCAGTTTGAAATTTGGCTCTAAGGGGACACACAGAAACACTGTTCACACCATGAAATGGGAATTTTCTCAAAGAGGTCGAACTTATGGCCAGGTTTGATCCCATTATGAAAGATCACCTTAACCGTGTTGAAAGAGGAACAGCAAGTCACAACAGCTACCTAGGCCATCATGTGCAGAATGAGCTGATTGATTTGTTGAGTGTAATGAAAGTTCTTTTATTTTGAAAAGAGAAGACTAATAAAAAGATGTGAAATTTATTATGCATTAACGTATCAAAATAAGCATGTGCACATGGATCTTCACTGTTTAGGATAAACAGGAAAGACTGCCCTCAACTTGCCGGTATACAATATTTGTATGAAAAGATGTTACTGATTGGTCAAAAACTGTTGGGGAGGAGTCGTGGTTTAAACTTAATTCTCCTGATATTGGTCCTTCAGTCCGTCCGTTCTCCAATCGTCCTCTCTGCTCCAATGGTTGTGGACAGCGCCCTGAAAGGGGAGGAATACCTATACCACTGTTTATCACATAAAAATTCTCAACTCATTCCCAACTTGTCCCAATTAACACAGCCTGTTGCTAAACACGATCAAAAGCTCGGGGTGCCTGTTCTCACCCTTAAAGCGATTGAACACGAGGGTCAGTGATACAACGGGGTTTAATTTGAATACACCCCTTTAATTGGTAGTAACATCTCAGGCACATGTCCGAGGGATGGGCGGGGGATCAACATATGAAAAATATTTTAAAAATTAATGAATAGATAAATATATAAATAGATAGATAACGCTAATAAATAAATACAAAATAACACCACGCCTAATGACTATGGACGTGACGTCATCGGGGGTCCCGTCCAGTCAGAGAAGACCCTGGTCAGAGAAGCTCGAGCTGGTTCTCTTCGTCCGCCAACCGTTACCGGTAAGTTCGTAGAAATCTGCCGTTTAAACCAGCAAAAAGACGAACACACAGACAGTAGTGTGCCTGGACACAGAGTAATACTGTTTACTGGAGTAAAGTCCTGGTTGGATCCGTGTTTATCACTTTTTAAGCAGCTTTAGGCGCCACTGTGTACTGCAGCCAGCCCGTGCTAATGCTAGCTAGCTTAACCGCCGTCACGGTGAACTACTGACTCTACAAACTTGAGCGTTTTTGTAGTTTTTACCTGTGAACGACTAAACTTTCAGGGTTTTTGATTTGTTTTCAGGAGTTTTTACTTACAATGGTCTGCTCCAGGTATGGCACAGACTATTACTGTAAGCTTAATCCTGAGGGGAAATTTAACTTTACTGCAGTAGTGTCAGTACCAGGACTACAGTATAAAATATTCCACTACAATTAAAGGTCATGTATTCGAAATTATAAGGAAAATCAATTTCAGGTATCAAAAGTGCGACATAGTGTGTTTCCTTCTTATAACAACATACTGTATTTTCGTCTAATAACGTGAACCCTGCCCAGCCTGGAGCTCATTCAGTTCATTCGGGTCTCTGTCTCTCACCGCCCCACCAGCTCACTGAGCCAGTCCCTGAGAATCAATCTCTGACAGTTAAACCCACTCACAGCAAATAGTCCACAAAATAACACACGAATGCAGTTTATGAGCCATGATAAATGGGCCTAAAATACCCTGCACGTCCCGATGATGTTATAACAGGTGAAATCAGTGTGTGCGCTGCTGTCACCCGCTCCAAGCAGCAGGGCACATGTTAGGATGTTGAAATGATGTGAACCACTCTAGGGGCTATGCAATATCACAGGCAGTTTTACTGGCCAGATATGTTGGCCACATGAGGAACTTGGGTCCGGTACAGTGGCTCTCCATGTGTATGTACAGTGTTCTTCCATAAGGCAACAAGTAGACAAGACAAGACAGAACCAGAAAAGAAAAAGCATGAACTTTATTGCCAAGTGTTATCAAAAGAAGAATGTGCATTAGGAAAATAAAAAGAATAAAATACTTAGTTTCTCTGACCATAAATGTGAAACTATATTTCTCTATATATGCTATATGCTGATCGTACAATGACTGCAAAATGCAGTGGTGTAAAACTTGACCAAAATCATAAAAAAAAAATGTAGGCACCATGTGTACAGGACTACGGCTGCAGATGCCACTGCTTAGTTGTACTCTAGTAGTTTACATTTTAATGCAGTACATTTGTCAGACAGATGTAATGAATTGGTGAAGATCTTCAGTGTAGTGTCTACACAGAAGAGCTTTTTTATGATTAAAACAGTTATTCAATTATCAGAATAATAATTTTTTGTTGTGTGTGCTGATTCTTACTGTGAGTGTGTTTGTTGTGTCCTCCAGCAGCAGTTCAGTGTGCCACTTCATACAAGCAGCAGCGATGAGCAGCAGAAGCAGAAGGTCCTGGTGAGAGACGGAGCACACAACACACCTGTCACTGTTGTGGAAGCTGACCTGGGCCAGTATAAGTCAGGCACACAACAGTGATGATTCCTTTATCTTTTAAAAAACACTCAATCTCTTCAGTCTGAAGCAAGGCCTAGGATTTATTGCCAAAGGTCACAAATGGCGATGTCTCCGTTTCTGGTTCATGAAGCAGAAGTTTACAGAGCTGCAGCATCTTTTATACTCTCTACACGCACCTCCTGGTCCAGACACACTCTACCCCACCTTTCTCTCTTTGACCTCCAGCGCAATAGACACCATTGTCTTTGAACCCAGAGAGGTCAGCCCTAGTCGCCCCTTCAGAAGCCATAAAAAGGATAATCACCTTTATTGGCCAAGAATGTTACACACAAGGAATTTGTTTCTGGTACAGAACCGATGGCAGCCATCTGCGGTGCCACCTCAACCATCGGGGGGGTTCAGTGTCTTGCCCAAGGACACTTTGACTGCTGGCACTGAGATTTGAACCTTCAACCTTCTGGTTGGGAGACGATTGCGCTACCCACCGCACCACTGTCACCTCCCCTTTATTATAAGTAATACATTTAATAAACATGCAGGCGACATAACAGCTGCAGGATGACATCCTAAAAACATGGATATTTACATCAAAGGCTCTTTTCTAGCTCTCCGTCTCTGAGGTGTGGCAGGTGTCCTCGTGCCGCCTTTTAGTCTGGGTCACGAACCGGGCAGCCGTCCAAAGAACAGACTAATAACCCCCCCCCCCCATTTTACTCGAGAAAACCGGGGGTACCTCCCTGATTTTACACACAGAGGGTCACCCTCGGTCATCAATATGCACTACTGAGCAAGTATAACAAGTACTGTTCAGGAATAAGCAGTATAGATAATGTGTGGATGGAAGGTCCTTTAATATCATGTGAATAAAATATAGAAGATATTAAGATATTCAACAACTGATGAATGACAACTTTCATTATCAGTTACAAAAGGTCCAAGGTGATAAATGTTTTGCTTTGTTCGACCAACAGTACAAAATCCAGAACTACTGAGTTGATTGTGATAGAGAACAGATAAAGGTGAAACTCTGAGCCTCTTGAACAGTTTGATCAATCAGTGATCTGAATTATTGTCTTAATTGTCTACTGATTGATTCATTAACTGACTAATTTTTTTAGACATCTCAGGCTGTACAGCATGTACTGTACATAGACATATAGACATGTATTCATGAACATTGGGTACGTAAGCAACAGTATGTACAAAGTGCCTCCCACCCACCGTAGTACTGTCTGTGTCCCTGTTTACACTTGGTGTCCACTGTATATATGTATAGTTCTTTACATAGGTTAGTATTTGCTCTTCCTGTACATTGTACTAGGAGATGTAACATCGGTGAGAGCCATGAGAAACCACAGTAAGACTTCTTGGCTCATCCTGATCCTGACTCTTTTGTCATGTTCTGTCTCAGTACCAAAATTCGCTCCTGTTCAGGACGTAAAGGCCTCGATGGGCGATTCTCCAGAGGGACTCTACAAAAGTCTGGATGGACAAAAGATGAGGTAACAGCCTCATGTTAGCATTCAGGGCAAACTCAGGAACTCTGTGTCCAGGCCCTTCACAATAAAAGTCCTGTATGTGGAGCAGCAGGAAGGCTTTTACTGTGAAGCAGCTGCAGGTTGTACAGAAACACAGGACTTAGCCTGAACTGTGAACTTATGTTCTTTTGGCTCATACGCTGTGTGAAAGAATAACAACAGGATACTGTGGCTGTGAATAGGATATATAGTGTTGAGATCATGAAACTAGCTCAGACTGATGATGCTGATGCTGATCTTCCTCCTCAGGATGAGAAGCTACACAGACTGGTGAAGGAGTTTGGATCCAACAGCTGGGCTTCAGTTTCCCTTCATTTCAAAGTGAGTTGTTTTATTTCACATCTCATCAGTCTTTGACAAGAAGAATGTAAGACTGAGCATTAAATACACCACTTAATACAAAATTTAGTCAACTGTAAATCTGGCAGAAGATAAAAAAATGTTTCTAAAACAGATGACACTTGTGATAACAGACAATCCTAAACTGCAAACACTGGCGCTGACTCAGGAACTCAGGAACGTGCTGGGAAATATGTTCCTTAGGTTTTCTGTCTGATTAAAACAAGAGAAGGAAAGATCAGCTCTGCATGTCTGACTTGGAACTAGCAGCCTGAGAGGAAGCTCGAACCTGCTGTGAAGTCTGAGCTGCCATGAAGGCATCACAGCAGACACGACTCTGACCTCAGCATAAACACTGCCTGTTGCGGAATAAGGAGCTGCTGTGTGGCCTATGTGCTGTAGAGGGTGTCCTCACCGTGTCTGTCTCTGTCTTAGGGTCAGAGGTCCAATGTGGACTGCCAGCGGAGGTGGCAGCACATTAAGAACCCGGAGCTGGTCAAAGGTCCCTGGACTCAGGAGGAGGATAACAGGGTAAAGACTCACACCGAGCCAACAGACACACTGTTTAACAGTTACACACTGAACAACATCAGACATACACCAGAGTCCAGGCAAAGTGTGAGAAAAAGGTCCATTTATTTTGAAAAGAGAAGACTAATAAAAAGATATATTTCTCTATATGAAATTTATTATGCATTAATGTATCAAAATAAGCATGTGCACATGGATCCCTTCTGTTTAGGATAAACAGAAAAGACTAACTTCAACTTAGCAGTACACAACATTTATAGGAAAAAATGTTACTCTCTGATTGGTCCAAACTGTTGGGGAGCAATTGTGGTTTAAACTTAATTCTCCCAAGATTGGTCCTTCAGTCTGTCCATCCTCCAATCATCCTCTTTGCTCCAATGGCTGTAGACAGCACCCGAAAAAGGGAGGAATACCCGCCCTGTCTTAATTCCTAGATAGACACTTATGTCTTCCTTTGTTACCAAAAGACTTTAGGCACTACCCCCCTGGTCCTACATAAACATAAACACAACTGTGAGATTAAAATATATAAACTTATGTATGCTATATAATAAAACCCTAACTAATTATATTCATTTCTATCTAAAAATGAAAATCACCCTAACAAAAGACACCTACTCACCTGGGACTCACTACACAGCATAGCAGTCACAGGTCCTGACAGACTTTGAACCTTGGGACTGTTGATCATAACACTGATGCAAAGTTATGATGTCACTTCCTGTGCAGTTGATCGAACTGGTCCATAAGTATGGCATGAAGCGCTGGTCCCTCATCGCCAAACACCTGCGTAGTCGAAACGGGAAGCAGTGCCGCGAGCGCTGGCACAATCACCTAAACCCAACAGTGAAGAAGAGCAGCTGGACACTGGAGGAGGACTGCACCATCTGTCAGGCCCACAGGCTGATGGGAAACCGCTGGGCTGACATCGCCAAACTGCTGCCTGGCAGGTACGTAGACCTTGTGCGTGAGTGGACCGCCTGCAGGAGTAGGCAGGCACATAGACCAGCTGTGGACTATGAGCAGAACATGCCCAGGTGTCCCAACAGTGTGACCCCGCAGGACTTGCTGATGCTTCTGTTTTCTTCTTAGGACTGACAACTCCATCAAAAACCACTGGAACTCCACTCTGAAGAGGAAGGTGGAGAAGGAGGGGTACCTTCAGGTCCTACACCTCCACAACTCCTCCTCCACCTCTGCCACCTTTAACTCCTCCAACTCCTCCTCTAACTCCTCCCTGTCAACCAGACCTACATCCAGGACCCGTGGCCCCCGCAGCACAGCCAACATCTCCACCAAGGTCAGCACGCGCCCTTCATCCACCCATGATAGTAATAATGGTGATAATAATGGTGATCTGCTCTCCAGCAGGCAGACAGTCTTTCCACTGTAAAGGACAGGTCCAGCTGCACCTCCAGTGAACAGAGCATGTGCGGACACCATTGTCGCCACACCCACTTGTGCTCCATCTGTGTCCCCACCTCCTCCTCAGTTTACGACTCATCACTGAGCATGTGTGAGCTGACAGCACCCATGGAGCTGATGGAGGCGGTAAAACAGTTCATTTTATTTGGTTAGATTGAGGTTTTTATTTTTGAAAGGTGCTTTGTGTGTTTTTAGAACCCTGTGTCGTCTCTCAGGCTGTCACGTTTTTGTTCCAACAGTAATCTAACCAGATTGACCTAATTGTATTTGTTTAATGGCTAATGATAAACAGAACAATGGTTTTGCACTGATTTGTCCTTTGCCACAGCTCAGGGAACCTGCATTAATGTGTTACTTAATGTAACTGCAGCGTTTTCTCTGAAGATGTCTGCTTTCCTTTTGTTATTAAAACTTTTACTTTAATTCATCTGAGCTGACATCACCACAGAACCCAGAGACCAGTAGCTGTGGCCTGAAGGAAGTGACCTCATCGTTCTCCACCGGCGTGTACAGAGAGGACGCCAACCCTTCAGTCATTGACCTCAGCAGGAGCTACGTAAGTTGACAGACTCCTGCAAATGTGCTGCTGATGAATTTTCTGTTGAGCAAAAATCTTGTTGACCTGGAAACTTATCAGCTCTAGCCCCTTCCACTGAAAGCTTCAGCACCCAGTGAAGCCTCTGTTTGAATACAGATCCGGGTCCAGACCAGTAACCACTAAACTTGTCCTTGGTGAAAACTATTAGTGATAGGAGGATCACACTACTACTATACACGTGCAGAGTAAAGAAGAGCACACTGCTTGTTTGCATGTTGTGTTTTTGTGAACCATCAAGTGTGAGCGGGGTCGCTGTATTAAAGTCACACAGGGTGTATGACCAGGGTGGAGGGACTGCAAGGGCAACTGACGACCAAACCAAAAATGTCTTGAGCCTGTGTAACATAAATGGAACCTGTGTGCTGCTCCGTCATGGAGCCTGCTGTGGGTCTGTACTTGCGTCCCCTGTAGTCCCAGTAGAACGGGTGAAACCAGTGTTTCTGTGTGAAGGTGACTGGAGTGAAGGAGCAGCTGCTGACCAGTGACAACGGAGCCACCTTCATGGACTCGAGCTCCTCGTGGAGCTGGACCAGCCCGCTGGGGGAGCCAACCTTTTCTCCCTCTGAGGTAAAGACCACATCCTGGACTCTTTTGTGCCCTGGTCCTGATCCACATCTGATCCGTGTCTGTCCGTCTGCAGTTCCTCAGTCTGTGCTGTGTCAAGGATCTGAAGATGCACTGTCCAGCTCTCACCTCCACCCCCGTCTGCTCCCTGAAATATACCAGCAGCACCAACCAGGGCGGGTCCTGTGTGCAATGCAGCAACAAGACCACAACCCAGTGGGTCCCATGTTCACAGCACCACACCTGCACCTGAATCTCAGTCCCACAGCACGGGCATCGTCCTGATTTTTTTTGTACTGACATCTGGAGTTCAGGCTGCATCAGTACATACAGATCTCATCTTTGCTCTGAGCTTCTCACATGAAGATGTACTGCTTTTGTCATTGGCAATTCTAAACGGGTTTAGACTGTGGTCGGACAGAGTGACACGTGAAGGCGTCGCTGTGGACTATTTCTGTTGTTTCATAGACTAAAGGATGAGTTGATTCATGGGAAAAGTAACAGTAAGTTGTTGTGCTCAGGACGCCCACAGAGATCCAAGAGAAGATCAAAGCATTGTTGACATCAGCCCCTCGAACACCAACTCCTCTGAAGTTAAACAGCGACAGTCCGAACCAGGTGAGACCAGATCAGCTGATTACCCTGCTGTTCTGATGCCAGAGTGAGTTCCCATGGTGGTTACCTCCCACCTGTGGAGAAGAATCAGTTACCTGTCCAGGTGGATCTCGGCTCATCTTTCCCAAATTTCCAAGGATTCATGTTAGTCACGTTTCAGGCTTTCCTGACTCCACCTGCACAGTGTCCCCGCGTCTCTCTCTGTCAGTTTATTAGCAGAAAGCTACAGGGACACAAAAGCCACAAAAGACAGATGTCTGTTAACAGTGTTCACATGATCAGAAACATGACTGAGATGGGTCAGAGCTCCACATCATCACTCAGTTTGTCTTAATATGAACTTTGTTACTATGAACAAATCCGACTTGCTAGTTTTAAGAGTTGAATGTTGGACCTGGGTTTGGTTGTGCTACCACAGTCAACGTTTGTCTCTGGTGCAGGTCTCAGTCAGTTTGAGCAGGATGATGTCCCTGACGGGGGAGCAGAAGAGTGCTGACCCTGACAGTCAGCAGTCCGGCAACAGCCCTGAGGTCTGACACACACTGCATTCACACAGTCACAGACCTCAGGCTTAGTTACCAGGCTTCGACACTACATTTACATTTAGGATAGAAAGAGATGGAGTCCTGCACAGGTCTGGAACTGTCCTGTGAAAACAGCTCAGAAAGGGAACATGGCCGTGTCTCACACAGCCAAGAGCAGCTGTACCAGAGAGAATTACAGGGAAACCTGAGGGATGGCGCTTCCTGAGCCCAGTCTCATCAGAAAAATTCAGACCAGGATTCAACATGGACACCGTGTCTTGGTTCAGACATGTAAAACATTTATTCTGTTTGTAAACACACAAAGATAGTGATTCAGCTGTGTTCCATTACAGAGACTGGCAACTCTGAGACCAGGTCTAGGTTTAAAAGGGTGTCAGTCCAGATTAACAGACACACTAAACAATGATCCAGACCGCCGTTCAGATTTGTCAAAAGAGAAGATGGTTTTAGATCCACACCTGGTTTCTGCTGAAACAGTGAGAAACAGGTTTCATAAACACAGTGACGTTTTAACAATTCTAAAATGTTCTTTGTGTTTCCGTGTCGGCCAAGTCCAGGCTACAGCAGAGTCCCAGTTTACTGATCGCTTAAATCTGATGGTTTTACACTTAAGTTTGGTGGGAAAATGAGAATATGACACACATGAACATGAATCTTCATTTTATGCTCAGCTGTTAGTTGATTAAACAGTCCAAAAAAAATTTGTGAGGTCCAGAAAAACCTGCAGCTGCCCCCCCTGCCAGGGTCTGGATCTATTATAAAGAACTGTTTATGTGTTCCCTATGACATCCAGGTCCAGGGGGAGAATCTGCTGAGCTCCATCCTACAGGTCCAGTCACAGTCCAGCTCTGCTTCACAGTACCACACAGAGTCCAGCTCAGTCACGGGCTATGAGGAGTTTGGCTGTTTTCCCTTAGATGGACAGGTGGACATGTGGTGGCACCCCACCAGGTACCTGTACTCTCCACAGAGTTCTGCTTACAGTGTGAACCCCTTCGAGGTTAGAACCTGCAGCCTGAGACCTGAACCTGGAGGGTCCATAGACCCGATGTATGTGTATCCAGCCTCTCTGTGATGCGCCTCAGGTTTGTGTTCCATGACTGCAGAGAGACTTTGTTCAGCGAAGGCACAGGCAGAGTTTGAACCAGGCTTCACATCTGTGATGGGACACCAGGCTGGAAAAACCAAGCACAATGAACAGCAATGAACCTGAAGAGCTCCTGGAAACATTTTCACATTTGTGTGTGTGTTGTGTTGACAGCTGAGCAGTGAGTTACAGGTGGTGATGTTTGGCAGAACAGATAATCAGAAGAGTCTAATTGAGCAGGCGCAAGTCTACATGCAGCCCTGACCATCTCCATCATCTTCTTCAGGACTGACCACGGCACAGTGCTCAGGTCAGTACAGAACATTTGTCCCTGGTGGGTGCTCGGTGGCTGTAGTGACCTTTAAAGGAGCAGTGAAGGAGACTGCAGATTGCAAACAGCCCTCAGCCGTTTCACTATAAATGTAGGACAAATTACAAACTCAGAAAACAAGTGCAGCTGACTTGACCGCGGTGAGTTACCCAGCACTGGCCATATTCTCGCTAAAGCTCTCAAATCAAACGTGCATTCAGGTTAACTTTACTTGTTAGGCTAAGTTACCTGTCCAGCAGAAATCAGGCAACTTCAGTGTCATCCTAGAAACATCTGGATTTCCATCAGGGAAAAGCCACACCAGTATTAATCCTTAACGTGAAAATGCGAAATACACACTCTAGATCCAGTGTGTATTTTGTCCGTTCTGGGGTCCTGTAACAAACATGGCGGCCTCCACAATAGGGGAGCTATAAAGGGTCACTCTAAGCAGAAGAAAACAGTGATTACACATGAAAGAAAACAATTTTGTGTACTACAGTTTGAGGCTTGTGTCGGAGCATCGGTGTCAAACGGCCATTGACGGCTGCCGGCAGAGCTGCTCCTCGTTCCTCTTCTGTTCAGAGATTATCATAATGTAAGGTCCAGACTTGGAAAAGTGCCCTGACATGATTTCTGTTGTGATTTGGCGCTATACAAGCAAAACTAAATTGAACTGAATAAGCACACCCTGCCATTATCAGTATAAACTATGTGTAGCCATGTCAGCTGAGGAGCACACCTGAGGCCCAGGTAACAGTCCCTGTGAGTCTGACTACAGTAAAATAAACAGGAATCACCCACTAAATGTGTTTTTCTTCCACCTGTTTTCTTGTGCTTGCAGATGTGCCTGCTCGTACCAGCAGCAGCCAAGCATTTTACATCAGACCATTACGGACGAATCCACTGGTTTTCTTGTATTTTACTGTTGAGTGTATGAATCATGAGTCTTGTTTTCAAGTTCACTGCAGCATCCCCATCAGTTCAGCTTCACCACAGGTGGAAAATAAACTGATTTTTATTTATTGATTGATTTAGCAGTTAACAAAGCATCCACACACATTGGAATCGGTTTTATACTGGATTTTAGCAGAAAACATGAAAAATGTCTGTATTTTTATGAAGTTTTTACTGAAGGTGTGTGTCAGAGTTACCTTGTACACTTCATATTTTTAAATGAATGCCGTTTGTTTCAACAAACGCATATTTTATTTATTGTAATCGGGCTGCGAATATGTTTTGGTCCTGACGCAGACCTTCGTTGAACCTGAACTTTGGCACTTTGGACTGAAACTGAACTCTGGCTTTGACATTTGTAATGTCATTTTAAACAGGAAGTGAAGCTCAGAAAAACTAATCTGTTGAATGTATGCCGTCTGCTGCTGTCACATCGTGACACTGAAAAGCGAGTTTGTTTTATAATGCTTGAATGAACCCTGCAGTGTGAACTACAGTCCACATGAATTTATTTATTTAACTGGATTGAGTGAAACCTGTGAATCTGCATAAAAATCCGACTGTTCCACTGTTAATTTCCTAAACTGGTGGAATATCTTACTGTCTGGATGTCGTGCCCTGATTTCTGTTCACAAATGTGAAACAATAAATGTCAGTGACTGAACAGGCCTGTTGTAAAGTTTTTATTTCACTTAAGATCACTGCACGCAGTCATGCTGCACCTGCCGACCTGTAAATCTGTTTTACACCTGTGGATGTTCACAGCTCTAATATAATTGTTATTTGAGACCAGAAATGTCTGCAAGCAGCAGGGACGATCGGTCGAAGAAGTTCTGAGGCTGTAGCTTCCTCTGGTCTCAAACAGGTTAAAGGGGAACATGTCTGTGCAGATTCTCAGTCATCCAGGTCATAGTAAGCTGAAAAAAAGCATAGAAAAAAAATCTACTGGACTTAAGATTTCTAGATCGAAGACGTTTCACCTCTCATCCAAGAGGCTTCATCAATTCTGCCTGACTGGTGTTGAGCCGGAGATATTTATCCCCCTCGGTGGTGTTTCAGTCCTTTGAAGGCCAACAATGTCCCCTAATGACTGAGTCCTTATAGCCCAGTATCGGTAAGAGTCGTTACCTGTCTTTAAATCCTTCCGTCGACCAACGCCTATTGTCCTGGTGGGCATATTTGGGCAGAGATCTCAAAACAGGATTGTAGATGGAAGACAAGTTGTGTCGTAGTCCACCACTCACTAAATACCGAGTTCGAATAGTGCCACAGAATATGACTCACAGTCAAGAAAAGCAGGTCATCTCAGATGTTTCAGGAACATTTCATAGAGGCATCAACACACAAGACCAAAGCTGTTCCACAAACAGTGAAGCAGTAATCCCTCATGACTAAACACCTGCTCTGGTTTTATGGCCAACTCTTGAGTCCAGTTTCGGTTGTTTCATTCTATGGATTCAGTTCCATCAGTTTTTAAACTGACTTCATGTGCACAGTGTCCTTTATTCTGACTTCTGTGTCAGTTTAACAAAGTGCAGAGGACACAAAATACAGGAGTCTGTGATCATCTCTAAGTATCGTTATAGCACAGTTAAATTTATTCACTAAATACACAAATAAAAATGTGTCAGTTTCCATATAAAACAGTTTTATCTCAATTGCTTTGAGGCTTTTTTTCATTTTCAGTCTGCTTCCGTATGTCGATGTATAAATATTGGCAGGTTTCCTCAGCTTGTCTCTATGCGACATGTAAAGTTTTGTTACAATAAAACCGTGCATGTTGTCATTACCTGGTGCACATCGAACAAATTACACATCTCGTCTGGCCTCGAAATGCCACGAGGAGGTGGAACCTTGTTGGTGAGAGGACCAGCAGCTGAGTGATGCAGCTCTCAGAGTCAATGCCGTTGCTTTAATACATGCACCAACAGGATGGTTTTACTTCCTGTTTGAAAAG